CAACAACAACAACAACAGTTGTTCTTTAATGCCAGCAACCTCTAACATGGGGCAAACAAAAACCGGAGAAAACATAGCATCACAGAAAGACACCTAAAAACTTCCAATACTTTTGTAAGGGCATGTGATATCCTGTCTGACCTGACGTTGCATAGAATTTGGTGACAATTAATGACTGAGTGTTGGATAAGAAAAAAGGAGAAAACAAAAATTCTCTGGAAAATAAATTTACTCCACGTAGCCCTGTGACACTAACAGTTATGTTTACACCTGCTCTGCAAATACCTGAATTCATAAGGAACTTTATAAGAGTATAGGAACCATATAAGGAACCTTAGCAAGGCAGATAGTACTATGTGAAAAAAGAGAAGCCAATAAATAAGCAATTCCAAAGAAGTAAAACATGAGTAAAACAGTTGTTTTGCACTAATATTCCTTCTCCAAACTTAAGTTTTTGATTGGAACCTAGATTTAGATTGATTCTGAAACCAATATCAGTACAGCATGCTGCTATGTCACTCATTGAAATGTTTTTTGACTTGATGCAATACAGTCAAGAGTACGTTGACTTGGTTAACAAACCAAGATTTCAAAACTTGTGGCTTACGATAGAAGAGAATATATGTAACTCAGGGCTGAACTGTGAGGTCCTTGGTGCTCTCTGAGCTTGGCTGTTTGGTGGCAGATGTTTCATGACATACCTAATGTTTCATTAGTAACATCAGTGCACTAAGAGAACACTAAAGACTACAGTTGTGGGGTAATTGTGCAAACTAATTCATTTCCTGACTCACCTGGGAAGGATTTATAGAATGGAAAGGACATTTAATATATGTGGGGCTTCACTTAATTCACCTGGAGACCTTGTTCCCCATAAAGTTTAGAAGACTCTGACAAAAATATTGAGAGAGACACACACAAAAACATAGGTCAGAATTTTGTACAGGGCTGGGCTATGAACTGGAATAAGATTTCATTTTTGTCTGTTGGGAAGAAATCCTTAGTTTAAAACAGAGCCCCATGGCAAAAGGAACATTTGTTCCTTCTGGCAGATGAGAAACAAAGATGATATCCTCAGACTGTTTTATTTGCCAGCTTTGTTCTTACCAAGACCCTAACCCCCAAACCCTGCCCTTTCTCACCAAACTAAATGAATTTGCTCCGTATAGACATATTGGGAGGGAAAGAACATTCCAGGCTGAAAAATTTTGGCTTTCTAAATCATCTCTCCAGAAAGTTCTAGATTTGGCTATGGAAAACCAGGGGTGGGGGAGAATGTGTGTGTGTGTGTGTGTGTGTGTGTGTTTGGGGAGAGAGAGACTTGTTTAAATTAGTGCTGGTTGCTCTCACCCAGAAGTAATTCAACCTCAGCTCATTTCCAGTTTGTGCACCAAGTGGATTAGGGAGTTTGAAGCAAAGGCTGGAAAAACTCTGGAAGTGGGGGGGGGGGGAGAGCAGAGAACGCGAAGGGGCCCTAAGCTTTGAGGTTTTTTTTTAAAGCTAGGCAGCTGCTGCTTTCCAGCAGTTTGCCCCCTCCCCCTCCAGCTTTTGTTCTCCTGCGGTTTACAATTGTCCCCCAGAGTTTGAGAAATGAAAGCTGGCATGCCTTGATGCCATAGGAATGCAGATGGGGTCCTAGAAGGGGCACTTTGCAAAAGCTTTGGGAAAAGGCACAATAGAAAGGAGTGTGTGTGTGTGTGTGGTGGGACGCTAACTTCAGCCAGGAGCTTCAGGAGCTGACGAAAGAGTTCTGTCACAGATCCCATATTAACTCCAACACAGAGGACTTGGGGTACTTGCTGATCATGTCTGGGAACTGCAGAGCACGGTTGACCAAGGGAGAAACGCAGGCCCAATTTTCTTTTTCTTTCTTTCTTTCTTTCTTTCTTTCTTTCTTTCTTTCTTTCTTTCTTTCTTTTTCTTTCTTTCTTTCTTTCTTTCTTTCTTTCTCTTTCCTTCTTTCTTTCTTTTTCATTCTTTCTTTCTTTTTTCTTTCTTCTTTCTTTTTCATTCTTTTTTTCTTTCTTTTTCTTTCTTTCTTTCTCTTTCTTTCCTTTTCTTTCTTTCATATCTTGTCTTTATTATTTTCACAAATAACTCAAGGTGGCAAACATATCCAACACACCTTTTTCTTCCTATTTTCCTCACAACAACAACCCTGTGAGGTGGGTTGGGCTGAGAGAGAGAGGGATTGGTCCAGTCATCTAGCTGGCTTTCATGATTAAGGCAGGACGTGAACTCAAGTTCTCCTGCTTTCTAGCATGGTGCCTTAACCACTAGACCAGGGGTAGGCAACCTTGGCTCTTTTATGACTTGTGGACTTCAACTCCCAGAATTCCTGAGCCAGCATGGCTCAGCTTGGAAACCTCTCCCTTTCCCCTCAGCATGGCTGGCTCAGGAATTCTGGGAGTTGAAGTCCACGAGTCATAAAAGAGCCAAGGTTGCCTACCCCTGCACTAGACCAAACTGGCTCTTAAATCTTAAAGATAGACGTTTAGGTCCATTGTTATCTCAGCCTGCCAACAGAAGATGCTTCAGTTTTTTGCAGAAAACCAGACCAGATGTGGATTTTGCAGGTTCTTCTACAACTGCTTTCTTGACAACCAGCTCCTGGCAGAAGCAAAAATATGACAACTTGTGGGAAAACTCATTTTGTGCTCTCCAGTATTGTATTTCTGGGTGCTACTGTGGCTGTAGACAATTTTTCATTGTCTAAGAGCCTCTTGATAACTTAGAAAACTTAGAAAATAAAAAGTTTTTAAACATTGCAATTTTAATAGACAAGCAAAAATAGGAGCAGCAAAAAAAAGAGACATGAACAATTGAGAATTTACACTGCATACAGAAGGTCCTCGACTTGCAACTCTAATTGGGACCAGAATTTCCATTGCTAAGCAAGTCATTAAGTGACTCATGTCCAATTTGACAACCTTTTTGCTGCAGTTGTTAAGCGAGTCTGGCTTCCTCCATTGACTTTACTTGACAGAAGCTAGTTGGGAAGGCTGCAAATGGTGACCACATGACCCAGGGATGCCACAACCATCGTAAATACATGTCAGTTGCCAAGCACCCATCATGGTGACAGCTATAAATGCATGAACTGGTTGTAAGTCATTTTTTTTCAGGGCCACAAGAACAGTTGCTAAATGAATGGTTTAAGGTGAGGATTACTTATAATCTGTTTTCTGGTCTAAAGTACTGGTCTAATGTACTAGGCAATTTGTAAGTTACCTAAACTTTGTTGAGTTGGGAAGCTTTAGAAAACTAAATTATAAACCAACAAATATACAACCCTGTGTTCGATTTTTTCGCCCCTTTGGCCTTGCTTCTCCTCATATGCTTCATACTAATTTGAACTTCTGGGATACCCAAATATGCTTTTGGGAGCTAGATTTCACTGTCAAATATTTCTCATCTTGCTCTATTACACAGGTCGGCAACCTGCGGCTCCGGAGCCGCATGCGGCTCTTTGAGCCTTCCCCTGTGGCTCCCAGCCTCCTCTGCCTTTGCAGAGAGAGACAGAGACAGAGAGAGGAATTGCGCTTCCCTGCTTCTCTCTCTCTCTCTCTCTCTCTCTCTCTCTCTCTCTCTCTCTCTGTGTGTGTGTGTGTCTGTGTGTGTGTGTGTGTGTGTATAAAAAAAGAGAGTGCACTCACAGTGTTCTCCGAGGAGCTGAAAAGCTTACTGGGCGGAGCTCTTCCCTTTGCTGCGTCTCTGCAGGAAGCAGGAAGGGCAGGAGAGAGCTAGCTAGCCCAGCTAGGCTGACTCAGGAATTCTGGGAGTTGAAGTCCATGAGTCATAAAAGAGACGAGATTGCCTACCCCTGATCTTGTTGGACAACAGCCTGAAGCTTGTCAGGTGAGTAGCAGATAGGAGAGGGGGGGAGAGAGAGAGAGAGAGAAAGAGAGAGAGGGAGAGAGAGAGAGAGAGAAAGAGAGAGAGAGAAAGAAAGAGAGCGGGGGAAGAGGAGTGGCAGACCAAGGGCAGATAGAGAGGGAGAGAGAGACCCTTTTGACATCTAAAATGAAGATAACACTGCATATATCCTTTTTTTACCTTTGTGTGTGTGTGTGTGTGTGTGTGTGTATGTATATATATATATACATACATACATATACATATATATATATACACACACACATACATACACACACACAAACACACACACACCTATAATAAAGGTAAAAAAGGATATGTGCAGTGTTATCTTCATTTTAGATATCAAAATGGTTTCGCGGCTCCCAGTGTTTTGTTTTTGGTGGGAAACGGGTCCAAGTGGCTCTTTAAGTGTTTTGGGTTGCCTACCCCTGCTCTATTATAATAATAAATTGCAGGTCTTCCCTTCCATAATTTACTCCTATAGTTACTCTACTTACTTCCTACAACTACTCTGATCTCATCCATCAAATTATCCATTATCTTCTGCTCCTTCAAGCATAGTCATTTGGTCTAGTCCAGGGGTAGGCAACCTTGGCTCTTTTATGACTCGTGGACTTCAACTCCCAGAATTCCTGAGCCAGCCATGCTGAGGGGAAAGGGAGAGGTTTCCAAGCTGAGCCATGCTGGCTCAGGAATTCTGGGAGTTGAAGTCCACGAGTCATAAAAGAGCCAACATTGCCTGCCCCTGGCCTAGTCTATCAACTCCTTGTATCACATATCCAAACCGTGAGAGTTTCTGCTTTGTAATAACCACTTGAAGAGAGCAATCAATTTTTACTTATTTGAAGACTGATTGGTTGTCTTGTTCAATCGGGTCCACTTTAAAAGGCGTGGACCTCAACTCCCAATGGCTGGCTAAGGAATTCTGGGAATTGAAGTCCATATCGGTTGAGTTTCCGAGACTGAGAAGCACTGGTTTAGGGCGGCCAGGCCGGCAGCATACATGCACGCATGCGCTTCCTTTCCTTTGATCCGCGAGTCCTTCTACTGTAACCCTTTTGTCTGCAGGCGGACGCCATACCACACACAGCTGCAACCGCAACCGCAGAGAAAGCCACGCCCCCTCGTCGGCCCAGGCCCCTCCTCCCCGCCCGCACGTACACGTGCGCGCCCTGGACTGGAGTCTCCCAGGGCAGGAGCGGCGCGGCGCGGCGACTCCCGCACGTCATGGCGGCCGAGCTGAGCGATATGGCGGAGCCGCCCGCGGTCCAGCCGCCGCCTCCTCCCTCCTCCTCGCCCTCAGGCGGAGGCGCTACCGAAGAGGCGGCCGAGGGCGAAGCCTCCCCCTCCTCCTCTTCCTCCTCCACCTCTGCGGCGGGAGTTGAGGCCGAGCCGCCGCCACCGGCGCTGAACGGCGAAGGGGCGGAAAGCATGTCGGAGCCCAGCCCGGAGAGCGCCAGCCAGGCCGGAGACGGCGACGACGAAGAGGAGGAGGACGGCGACGACGAGGAGGAGGAAGACGAGGAGGACGAGGAGGACGACGACGCCGAGGAAGAGGAGGAGGACGAGGAGGAGGAAGACGAGGAGGAAGAAGAGGCCGAGGCCGGCAGCAGCTCCGGCTCCTCCAGCGGCTGCTGCACCGACGACGCCCGCTCGCTCAGCCCCGGCGGCAGCGAGGCCGACGTCAAGGGCGGCTCGGGCGGGGCCGACGTGGGCGCGGGCGGAGGGCCTGACGGCTCCGCCGGCGGCGGGCACTCCAGTGAAGCGGCGGCGGCGGCAGCAGCAGCACCACAAGCGGCGGCGGCGGCGGTGGCGTCCGAGGGGGACGCGGGCGGCGGTGGCGGCGTCGTGTCGTCGGGAGCCGACGAGGGCTACGGCACGGGGAGCGGCGGCGGCGGGGGCGGCAGCAGCTCCTGCAGTGCCACGTCGGGCGGCCGCAGGGGCAGCCTGGAAATCTCCTCGGACGGGGAGCCGCTGAGCCGCATGGACTCCGAGGACAGGTCGGTAGCCTGCCAGCCAGCCACGGCCCTCTGGCTCCCTGCGGGCTTGGGGTTCCCCCTTTCCCCGCTTTTGGGGACTTGGATACATCCCCATGTGGGGCATCGGGCTTCCCTCAAGAGGCAGCCCCTTTTTAAAATTACCCCCCTCTTTACAAACATGCCCCCCCATTTTGCTTTTCGCAGCCCTCCGCTTCACCCTCGGATACCCATCCAAGTTGAAGGAGTTTGATTAAAGTCACAATCTTCCCCCCCCCCCATCATGGTTGAATGAGGTAATTCATACGCTGCCCTCCTTTCCCTGCGAGATCCCCATTAAACATCTTAGTGTGTGTTCGTCAGTGCTGGATGTACACTAATAGAAGTGCGTTTGTGCGATGTATGAAAATCAGTTTTGTGAGGTTGTGCTTTTTATGTTAAGCCTTTTAGTTTTGCGGGCTTTACAGGAGTAGCTCCTTTAAACAAAATCTCGGAGTCTTTTTCGTACATATGTTCTTCGTTTTTAATGGTATTTGTATCCAAGTAGAACTGATGTAAATATTAGATGAAAAAAAAAGTCATCCGGGTGATTCATACTACCACTATGGTATTTTAACTTAAACCTGTTCTCTGTTTAGTCGCTAAAACAATAGCACATTATCCAGTGGGAATTAGATTTCAACAGAAATTGCAAAAGTGAACCAGTACTGAAGTTTTGATGCCGCTATGGTTTCTAAAAAGTAGAAGGGAAAGATGAAATACACCAATGCAAAATATAAATTTACTACTTAATTGTCCTGCTGCATATTATTACATGCAGGTTACAATCAAACATACAGCTGAAAGGTAGATATAATTCATCCTAAAAAATTGCTGAGCTATTTCTGGTTTTGTATCTTGCCATGTAAACTCGTAGAAAATCATGGTGAATGTGTAGTTTCTGGGAAAGTTCAGGGACAGTATACCTAAATTGTCCTTAGTTTTGAGAAAGTAGTAAGCCATATGTCTTAATATTTAAATGTATTTAGGGTAGATTTTTTCCTAAAAGATGCTTTCCCATATAAATTGCTTTCCCATATAAATTAATACAGGAATGCATTTTTTCAGCAGTGTATAAATATATGGTGGGCAGTATAAAACCTTGCTCTAATTTTTTTGCAACTTCAAATTCTTTGGAAAAAGGACTGTAAATTGACAACCTCTTCCTGCAGGGTTTCAACTTCAGAGACTTATGTCTATGTTTATTAGTGGACCAGATAAAAGCCCCTGGAAAACCTGAAAACTTTCACTTTCCATATCAGAGGGTAGTTTGATTAAAGGAACGTATTGTGAATTTTTCATGACATATATGAAATGGACTTAATAATAGAACTGCATTTTATTTTGAAATAAAGGGTTGTGTATTTGATTTCTATAGTGCCCATCTCAACAAGTGATTTTGATTAATCTTCCTGATTAGTTTTGAACATGTTCATTCTGGCATAATAAAACTTTTCTGTAGAGGATAATTAAAGCACCAGGTGTCAGTGACACTATTATTACATTCTATGAGTGATGCAACTAGTGATTTGTAGGTCTGTTACATTCTGTTGCCATTATTTTAATAATTGCTTTTATATGAGAAAAAACAGCCAAGTTAAATGTCTTTATTACTTTTACATTTCAGTTTACATTAATATTGAAAGCAATTTGCCAATATGATAATGTTACATTCTTCTTGGAAGATAGGCGTCAGTTGTGCTGGATTTATATAGATTCACCTATTAAAATTAAGGTAAATGTTAATGCAAAGCAGGTACTGAATGGGCAATGGATCTGAGAAAAATGGTTTAGTTCATGTGCTTTTGATTAAATGTGCTTTTATAAGTGCTAGAGAAAGCGAACTAACCTTTATGATGTTGCATTTATCAGTTCTATCTCCTAAACTTTCCTATGAATTCTGAAAATTATAGGATCCCTGCATCCCTGTTATGCCAGTGTAGGGAAGCCTGGATAAAAAGTCACAGGGTAAATGTTTAAATTATATAATGTTTGGAAATTGTCCCGAGATAACTTGACCTGCTTCTGTCCATGTAATGTCCTACTTAAAAGGTGTTTTAGACACAACAGACAGCTTGATAAAGCTTAACATTTATAACTAAAGGAAACAGCATTATGACCTATTCTTTGCTTTGCTTTTATCTAACCATTTTTATTTTCATGTTGCATTTAGACAGAGCATCATGGACATTTTTCTGTTTTGATACTAATGACAAGCTAAGAACTAAAGCTTCATTTGTAATCCTTAACATTAATTCTTTTAGGCAGGATAGAAGAAAATTGTAGTGGAAATGAAGCTTTCTTTGTATAAACGTAGAAGATGCAGTTTGATCTGAATTGCTCTTGTTGCTGTTTGGTCTGATGTTTCCTTCCAGAATTTGATCTGATTGCATAACTAAGTTAGGGTCTAGAGCTTTGAGGTATTTCATACCAAAGTAATTTTCATGATTCTCTATATCTTACATGGCCTTTGAATTAATATTGGAGAAAGCATCATGGCAATATAATAAAGAGTTACCACAATAGTTTGGGCCATTTGTATAGGACATTTTCTCTGAAATGATTGTTCTTACCATGTCCCTTTGTCTCAGGAACCACCTCAGGAACTTTTGGTTTGACTTACATATTTTCTTATAAGATACAAACAGATAAAAAAAATGCAGAACTGAGTCTGAAATGACTACTATGACTTGCCAATGCCATTTATGTTTAAAAAAACCCTATTTCCTAGATTTGTGACCAAGATGGGGCAGAAACTTTAATCTGTTCATTAATACTTGGAAATCAGAATGGCAGAACTGAGAAGGAGCTTTTGTCTTGATTTTCTTTATGCAAAATTTAGCTTCAGTTTAACTTTTGAACCCCAAATTCAGTTTTCACAAGATGCAGCCAGAATAGGAGACAGCTTTTTTTGTTCACACCAACTACTAGGTAGTTATAAAAGGCATTAGCTACATGTAAACAGGAGTGTCAGTCTCTTGATCCTATTATCTTCTGTGTTTAGTGACCTGAGTAGATCCTTTCAGTGAAATTTCAGCACTTTTTCAAGTAAAAATAAAATTTAAAAGATCAGGAGTTGAGATTGTGAATGGAATTATTTCAAATATGCCAATACATTTCCCTTAAAGTAATGTCTGAGATACTAGAGCCTCTGTCGAGCATTAGTGCCACAGCTTTCTGTAATAATGGACATGGATGCATGGTTTGTTCAGAGTTTTTTTTAAACTTGATCAAGATTGTTTTAGCAAGAAAAAATTACACACGTCTTAAATATATCTTAATGCCGTGTAAGGTCGTGATTATTTATGTGAAGCAAATGTATTCCAGTGTCTGTGCTAATCCGATCTTTATAAACAAGTCAGTTAAAAGATTGAACATTATTATACACTTACAGCGTTTCACAGAGTTTAGATCAGTTTAATTACACACGAGCACTTGAATTTGATGGATCAGACATTTCTTTTCTCTGCTTATGGTGAACGTATAGAATTTACTTCCTTGAGGTATAATGACTTTATTAAAAGACTAAATCAATTCATGGAGGATTTAGAGGGCTGGAATCAGTTTTCTATAAAAAGATTTCTGATCATGCAAGAGAATCTCTCCCTTCCCCCCTTAAAAAAAAAACCTCCGCTCAAGAGAATTCTCCAGGCTACCAGCAGAGATTTGGGAGAAGTTGGCAGATGGACGCCATTGGTTATAATAGCTGTCAATTGTGATTATCTCCAGGGTCAGCCAGCATGCTTCCAAATACCAGGTGCCAGAGAATGAGCGTGGAAGAAGATTGTGGGTAGAATTTCCTATTTGGAAGGGAGGGTTGGACTGTTCTTGTTTGCAAACTAGCGATAATGATAGCATTATATGACTTCTTTTTAAATGTTAATGAATCATCGATCTTCAGTAAGAGAAAAGTTAGAGTGACAAATATTTGCCATATGCTTTTATGATATATAGGCTTATGCATAGGAACAGATGGGAAAAAAGCTCTTTTGATGTTACCTTCAGGAAATATGCCTACGCAAGAGTAAAAATTAAAACAAAATTAACAATGTAGGATAAAATCAATTCCTCTAGTTCAGACATGTCAAACCCGTGACATCACGCAACGTATTGGGACAGTTTTGCCATTGCTGGCAATGGGGTGGGTGCAGCTTCCGTGTGACATGTATGGCCCGCGGGCCGGCAGTTTGACACCCCTGCCCTAGTTGTATTTTTTAAAAACAAACACAGCTACTTTAATATGTAGACAGCTGTTTTGATATTTGTCGCATTGGTTTACAATTCCCGAATAGGAGAAGAATAGAATGATTGCTTTGAGCTTTTGAGTTGTAAGAATTACATAGGGTGATGCTTCTGTTCTGAAACATTGAATGTTCTACCAAAATCTTTGCTGAAGATTTAAATAGTTTAGTTATGTATCAACAAAGACATACAAGGAAATTTTATGGGAAGGATTATGGAGCTTTCCCCACTGGAGTTTTCCAGATTTGGACTAGAAACTACCATTAGCCATGTTGTCTTAGAAGTCTTATAAATTATCCAAGACCAGGTGAAGGACACCTGTTGTATCACTAAGGTCCTCAATGTGCTAACTGTAGGAAGCTCTGTGCCCCTAAATACTGTGTACTTCAGTAGTCTGATTACTTACATAGTTTTTAAAAATGTAAAAAGAATTCCAATGTTTTGCCTTGTCTAAAACATTAGAGCTTCATTCCTTCAAACCTATTGCCTAACCTTTCATTCTTAAGTAAAAAAGATATACAGATGGACAGAAAATATTTAGGCATCCTTGGTCATGTTTCAGTGAGGCTTGACATAATCTACATAATGCAAAGTTAAGCATAACATATTCAAATTTGAATGTATATTTAATATTTATACACAGATTCAAGATAAGAAAATCAGGAATACTCTCTTTTCTGTGTATATACTCTTTTGGCAAAAATAACAGCAGCATTTTCTATAGCTACCTATGAGATTCCTAA